TTAGTTGTGGCTAATTCTGTTCAATTGCCTCGTCTGGAGGTCATGCTGCTTTGCTCATGAAATGTGGATGGCTGTATTGACACCATATGGAACTGAACATAGGAATGGCTCTGGGAGTTTAGTGTTTCCAGGAGCGGTATAGGAAAGTGTGAGGGAAAGAAACTTTTTTTTTTTTTTTTTTTTCTGTTGGCTTATGTGTTTGCAGCATACGAATCAAATACCGGATCTGCTTTGCATTCAACAACTGGTTTTGCTTCCTATTAAACTTCATCCCTCCTGTTCTTTTGAACTATTTCAGTACACAGACGTAACTTTTTGACAAAACCTAAGACTTTTTTGATACTAAGCTGAGCTTCATAGCTTACTTTCTTAGTTTAGTTTACTTTAGCGCTGTTAAGTTAATATTCCGGTGTGACAGCATGCTAACAAAAAAACAAGGGGGAAAAATCACAGAACTTTCATTTTTAGAGTGGCTTTCAAAAGCGTTTTGCTTTAGCAGTAATCCAAATTAGTCTTTTCCACTTGTGTTACCGAGAGACAATAAAACACATTGCAGGGCTTTTTTTGTTAGCACAAGGGAGGTTTTTCTAATTAGAATTCCCTAGGTAGTGTAAATTGTCCTTATGTAAGTTCACATTCCTTTAAAAGTGTGAGAAAATAAGTTCCACTTGTATAAATAAGCTTTGGTCTGTTGTAAGAAACCCTGCTGTGATTACTCATTGGACAGCTGTGTCACTGGCTCTTAAACTCGCAGGAGTACATCTTTGTAGGTGTCACCGAACCATGTGGTCTGGCCGCTTTTGTGTAAATATTTCTTTTGTTTGTGTCAGATGCCTTAGAGGTGCCCTGCTCTCCCTTCCTTCCCCTGTTCTTAGTAAGAGAATGAGGAACAGTGCAGTGTTACCTCCAGCTACCCCACTACTTGGAGCGGGGATTGCGCAATCTGTAAGATTATAATGTGTTTCAGTTTTACATATGCAAAAAAGGTTTGACTGGCCTGGATTATTGTTGCAACAAACTGCACACTTACAAATTGTAAAAGACTGTTTATGAAATTTATTGATGTATGTTTAATGTATTTTCCATGGAAGTCCGTAGTGAGTATAGCCAAAGGCTAGTAGTTTAATTGCAGGCTTTCCAATTCTCTGTAGAAAACAACGACTATTACACCATGTTCTCAACATCTGCAGGCAAGATCTCCCAAGCAGGAGAGTGAAAGCTCTTATGCCTGAGAAGGTCCAGGCTCGCGGTAGGCTTTACACCTTCCTCTGCCCATCTGTCTACTCGCCCAAATTGTCGGTGGGTCCGGTGAAGTTGGTGCCTTTTGTGTTCAAATCCCCCAGTGAAATAAAATGAGAGTGTCTAATGTGGAAAGGCTGCGTGACCTCAGAGTGGACAAGGAGGGATGTAAAAAAAAAAAAAAAGAGTCTGAATACTGAGTTATGTCCCCTTCTTTTCCGTGGCAAGTGTGAGGCTACTGGTTTGTAGGGAAGTGGCTTCACAAAATGGGGTGTAAATAGGCCAAAATTGACAGCTTTACTGTGATTTTAGCCAAAAATACCATCTTCTGTAACACTGCCTTCGTGGAAGATAACACGAAAGAAAGAAGATAACACTGCTGAAAACTGGTAAACATTTGTAATGGCTTTGTGTACAAATAGTTTTGAAGTTAGATTTCCATTTACTTCAGGTTGTGTGTCCCAAGATTGCAAGAATGTGGCTTTGTTAGAGCTGGTGTAGCAGAGCTGGAGGCGGAGGGATGGAAGGAGGAAGAGTGTTGAGCACTGGCTGGTATCCTCCGTGCGTGCAAACTCCTGCTGGCACTGCCGTACCCCTCGCCAGGTTCACTAAGGAATGCTAAAACTGTCGGTGGGGCAGGAGGGAAAGTCTGAAAGATGGTTTTCACTTGTGTTTGTATTACATCTTTAGTATTTACATTTTATAAATCCTCTAGTTCTCTACCAGAATTGCCAGAAAAAAGGGCCGTATGGTTTTCACAGCTGTTTTTCAATATTTTCCAGACTAAAACTTGAACATAGCAAGCTGATTTATGAGTCACTTTGGATCAGCGTCTTAAAACAGCTACAGCCTGGCTTTTTGTTTTTCAGCTCTCCTGATTTCTGCTGAATTAGCAGCTCTATAGGCCCCAGTGGGACTGATTAAGAAGCTGTTGCTGGATTTGCATTTTAAAAATGACTTCGGGCTCAGGTTTCTGAGTTCTCTAAGGAAGAAGATGATAATTGTGACTAAGTGTTGTAAATTAAGTTAGAGTCTAAAAGTTATATTTATAAAATGTGTGAAGAAACAATTGCCCTCTCCCTTTATACATTAGGCCTTCCTTTCAATTTTTTATCACACAAAACATTGATGTTCAGAGGTGCGTTTCAGCTTTCTAACACAGAGGCTTGTGTCTTACAAAAGATGGTCATACAAACGTAATGGAATATAGAAAATAGTTTCTTTCATAAAATGGGTTCCTAAAGGGCCTCCAAAACTATGGCACGCTTTTTCAAGTAGAGGTATTTCTACTTAAGTGCCCAGTCGCTTTTATTAGAAATCTGAGGTGAAGAACAGGTATATATACTTTTTATTGTTACAAAGAATTTCTTAATATAAATCTGGTTTCTGAAGTTTCTGAGTGCTTTCACTGTTATATCTTTCATGGCTTTTGAAATTCTAGTAGCAAAAGTAATCACAGAGGAGATTTTCTCGCCACTTGTAATGTGGTTTTAACAGACAAGGAAAATTCAGAAGTGGAAAATGCATGGTAAGAATCTTAGTGTTTTAATGTTGTCAGTTCCATTTCTGTGAAGGAAAAGTACTCATTCGTTTTCAAAACTTTTCTTCATAGTTGTTTTGAGATATGTTGAGAAATGCATTGGACTGAAATGTACCTGTAGCTTTGTGACAGAGCTGATAGATTTTTATATTTTAAAAATGCCTCAAATCCAGTGCTTAGAAGTTTCAGAAAGTTCTATAGGCTTAAGCTTCACTTAAGAGTATTAGTAAAAGACAAGTATTTTAACTCTTGGTTCACTTCCAGCCACTCTGATTTAACTTAAAAATCTGACTTGCAAGGCTTTTTTTCCTGAAGTTTCCCATACCAGTAGTACTGAAATAATGTTTAATAAAATACTCATAATTCATATTTTATCCAACAATCGGTAGACAAGCGTGTATACAGCTGTGTGAAACAGGCGATTCAGTATAGTTCGGAGGGATTTTTTTGCAGCTTGTGTTTGATAACCTGCTGTAAGTAAACCAGGAATGAGGACTTTGTGTGTATGTATGTATATATGTATATATTTTTTAAAGTAGGTGCTACATGGAAAAGTCTGGGGGTATCTTTGGTGTTAAAAAACAAACAGACAAAAAATAGTTTGAAACCTAGTGTAAGTTGTTAGACTCACGGTTGCCTTGATAGACTCCAGATGGATGTGAGCTTGTGCTATGAGTGAAAGTGTCTGGCTCCAGTGTGGTGATCATGCACAGCAGTGGTTGTAATTGCAGGATTTTTATAGTTTAAGGACTCTGCCAGATTTTTTTTTTTTTTTTTTTTTTTTAGCATGTTATAACTCCAGCAGAACAAATCTACTCACGTCTGCTGCTGTCTGGTAGGTCCTTTAGGCAAACATGTTTTAAATAAACCTTTTGCAGGGTTTTTAGATGAAATGAAGAAATGCAGGTTTTTAGCACCAATGTTCAAAGCTCTTTGTTGAAATAATTACTGATTCCTAAGTCTTGTCTGAAGCCTGAAGAACGGTAACGTATTAGGCACTAACAGCCATAACTTGACTGAATTTTGGCTGTTTATTTGCATAGTTCTTATAATCCCTACAGAGTAAAGCCAAATATTGAATTAAGTTTAAGGGTAAAAATTGTCTCTACTCTGTCTGCTTTAAAGGACGGAGTTAAATTCCTGTCTAGATCTTTGTAACAGCATATTTTTTCAGTATTTACATTTAAGAATGCAATATGAGAATTTCAAATCTATGTAGCTAATGTCTTCAGATGTTAAACAAAGGGATTTTTCTCCAGTCTATGGCCAGAAGAATGTTTGCATTAGATTTTTAAGCAGTGAAAGATGCAGTCCTCTAACTCAAGTGTGGTTAACCTCATTTACAGGAGAGCTCAAAATCGTAATGATGAAACTAACATTTGTGGGTTTTTGAAAATGTTAACACTGTATTGGTTTCCATCTTTAAATCTGTAGGGGTTTAGACACCTGGAAGAAGGCACGGAGGTATATACGTGTATTAGGTGCTTGAGTCCAGAGCTGAGTCTCGGAAAACATCCCCTCAGTGGTCACTTGAAGGTGCTGGAAGGTGTTCCCCTTCTTTAGCTGGCTCCCCCCCAGGCCTCATCCTGCTTTTTTTTGTACTGGAAAATACCTTTCGCACCTGTGGGTCTGCCCTGTGCATGCTCCTGTGCAGCCCTGGTTTGGGAACGGTAGTGGGTATCTCCTCTCTGCCCCTGGCCCTGAGCCAGGCGCGGGTGCTGCAGCTCCGCAGCCTGCTGGGCCTGATCCAGTTGCCTGGCTCACAGCACACCTCCTAACCGAGTACTGGAGGTACCCCTCATAATGTGCACGGGATTGTTTTTAATGTTTGGGTTTTATTTTATTTTTTTTTTTTAACCACTGGCTCCAGGGGAGGACAAAAGGGATGATGGAATTGTCCTGACAACGTTGGACAAGTACTGCATAAAACACCAAACAGTTAGGGGAGGCTAAAACGTGGTTTTACCGTCCCCATGTGCTGTTGAAGAAACCTAGATGCCTGGCTGGGTTGCAGCATTACACCTGTGTCCGAGGATACGCAATGGTGGGTACAGAGAAACCGGAGTTCTCTGGATCTGCAGTTCAGGGCTTAGTCACAGAGCAGAACGCATAGCACAGACCCTGAACCAGGCTTGAATTAAGCCAGTTCTGGTCTGTGTGCAGCAAGGATATGCTGATCATCAGGTTTCTTCACTTCCAGAATCGTAGATGAAGAGTAGACATGTCCATGGCAGTCAGACCTGTGTTTGGCGTGTTCACTACAGGTGAATGTACTGAGTCATACTGTCCAGAAGTAAGGAATCCCGGAGTTTCCTCATAGATTCCACTTGGAATACACTCCATGCCCATGGGGCGTGATGAGGACCTCAGGCATGCTGCATGACTGTTCAGCGCTTAATTAGCACAGGGGAAAAGTGTCCTGAAGTGTGAGAAATTTCTTTGCCTTTACTTGCTGCTACAGCAGCTGACCACTGAAGTGTGCTGATACAATTCTTTATGTGTCTGTATTGCAAACTCTCACTGGAGTGAGTTTAAGAACTTAAAAATATCCAAGCCAGCAAACAAGAACTGCGCTAAAGTCAGTGTTGCAGCGTCGAAGGAGCACTTGGCAGATGGCTGAATTGGTGCAGGTGAGGTAGCGACAGGCTGGAGGATGGGAGCAGGAAGGTGCATGTTGTGATGGAGGAGTGACTAAGAAGGGGAGGTCTTCGACAGGGCTAGCCATGGTTACAAGACCAGTTGTGAATCTGTTCCACTTGTGCAGATCTCTATAGATGTGTGAGTTTGAGTTTGTGTAATTAGCTTCTCTGCCTTCTGTTGTATGGTCATTCTTTTATTTCTGTGATCTTTCCAGTACTGCAAGGCTACAGCAAACGTTTCTTAGGACTCTGTCTTATGGTGTTGTCAACCATTCGAGAGGATATACGGTAAAGGTGCATGGTGTCTGTAGGGCAAAACATTTTAGGGAAAAAAATTTCTTGAGAGTGCTCAAGAAATTGTGTTGCATTCTTAGTACCCTGGCTTGTTTTGTAGGAAACACTGCAAAGACCCTAACAAGATTGCTCGTAAACTGCATCAGTACGTATTTGTGATCTTCAGCACGGAGTGGCACAAGCTAAGTGCTTGAGCTACTTCTTCGGTTGTGACTAAGTGTGGTATTAATGCGCCTAGTATACAGACATCTTAGGAGTCAGAATAGAATTAGACCTTCCTATGTCTGTTTTCTTCTGATGTTGCTTGTTTAAGATCCTCATTAAATTCGGTTATGTAGAAATGGAGTCCTGACTTGTATGAAAGCAGGAAAATAGAGTTGACGTTCATAGACAGTCCTCATTGTGTGCTTACAGTCTGTGCATTGCTTTAGAGAAGTAAGTGAGAAGAGTAAATGATGCAAATATGATGATAGACTCAAGGAATGAGACTACAATAAGTATTGGTTTATGAATTTTCCTTGTAACCAAGAAGTTGCTTTAGCCAGATGTTTTGTTGTGAAGGGATGGGAAACGGGTTGGTGGAGGTGTATGTGAGTCAAAATCTTAACATGTTTTTCATGGGTCTTACACACATCCCAATGAATGGCTCTAAATTGTTCAGAGGTGTAAGAAATTCTTTGACACTGCTGGCAGTGATCAAGGTATTTACACTTATTTATACTTTGTATACTCAAATGAGTTTCTATCCTAATTTTACTGATATAAAAAGAAACTTTTATGTACTTGGAAACAAGTTGGATAACATAATTTGGGTTGAAAGTGTATTGCTTTACCTGATATTTTATGGCAAAACTGACAGGCTGTTTATTTTTGTAACCTTATAGGGATTTAAGTCACAACAAATTATCTTCAATCAAGACCAGTCTCTTGGATCACCTTCATAGTCTTCAGGAAGTGTAAGTTAATTTGTCTTAATTAAAAAAACCCCA